AATCTCAGGTTTATACTCTATTGAGGACTTGGAGATCTTGGCAAGTTAGTAACTTCTCTGAGACTCAGTTTTCTGATCTATGAAATGAGCATAATTTCTACCTTGTAGGGCTGTTATGTTATGTAGGGATGATATATGCAAAGCATCTGGATACAATCCCTAGACTATAGAAGATGCTCAATAAATAGGGACCACAGTTATAAGCATGCAAAAATATTTCTAAATGAAAGGGTTCAAGCGATGACCTGTGGTTATAAATCTTTTTCACTTGACTAGGTTGGTTAGGAGAGAGACCACTTAGAGTTTTGATGAGAACCCATGAGATTAATGGGGGCTCTGACAATTGTAGTATTGTTATTATGAATGGAATTACACATACTTTCCCAATGTTCTTAAAGATTATATCACTTCCTTGTCCTTTTCCTCAAGCAAAATAAGTTAGCTAATTTTAATGTCAGTTGTTTTCCGGCAAACAGCAGCACTACCTTAGCGACTCTATGCACGAAGACTAGCTCAAGGCCTGCCCTGTTCCTCTGCACACCTTCTTTCCATTCACTGCCAACAGGAAGCTGAACCTCACCAGACACTGAACCTGGTCGTGCCTAGATCTTGGACTTTCCAGCCTCCGGAACTGTGAGAAACAAATGTTTGTTATATAAGCCACTCGGTCTCTGGCATTTTTATCATAGCAGCCCTCACTGACTAAGACTGTAACCATTCTATTGCCACAAAAAAACTCCACTGGGCTCTTCCTTTATGGTCGCACCCTTTTCCCAATCCTAACATCTGGCGAACACTCATCTATTTTTCATCAATATCATTTTGTCATTTTAAGAATATTTTATAAGTGGGATCATAATATAGGATGTACTTTGATTGACTTTTTTCACTCACCATACTTTTCCTTGAGATCCATCCAAGTTGTCGTGCGTATCAACATTTATTACATTTTATTACTAAGTAGTACTCCATTGTATGAATGTACCGCAGTTTGTTTATACATTCACACACTAAAGGACATTTGAATTGTTTGTAACTTTTGACTGTTACACAAAAATCTCCTATGAATATTTGTATATAGGTTTATGGGCAAACATAATTTTTTATTTCTCTAGGATAATCACCCATGGATGTAATTGATGGGTCATGTGTTTTATAGTGGAAATAACTGATTAATGACTAAGTATATCCATTAAAATGATGTGAAAATATCAGAAATGTATAAGATCAGATTAATTATATTTTTAAGCAATACAGGAGAAATATAGACATAGAAGTGAATGAAAGCAACCTGGAAATGAGTGTTTTAAAATGCATAGTTTTTGTTTGTTTTTTTCACTTAAATAATGAAATAGTTTTCACCTTTCCTTCATGGGTCATGAAAACAATACATCAAGGGAAAACAATACATCAAAGGAAAACAATACATCAAGGGAAGACAATACATCAAGGGAATACATCATGACAGATCCTTGAGGTGATGGATCTGTTTTGTATCTTGACTGTGATGATGGACACAGGAACCTGTATGTAACTAAAATCCCATAGAACTACATGCACATATGCATGCACACACACACACACACACACACACACACACACAAGAGTACATGTAAAACAACTGGGCAAATCTGAACAAGGCTGAAGGATCATACCTCTGTCAATATCTTGCTTATGATATTGTACTATAATTACATGAGATGTTACCATTGGGAGACACTGGGTAAAGGGCACATGGATCCCTCTGTATTATATTTTACAGTTGCATGAGAATTTATAATTATTTCAAAAATAAAAAGTTTGATTACAAAAGCCACATCAACCATTTGCTCTATTTCTGGGATTTGTCTTCAGACTATAGCCTTTGTATAGTCTTTGAATAATCAGAATACCTAGGGCTCAGTCAAAAACTCAACTGCCTATCTTGAAACACCTTTTTTGAGCAACTACACAAATTGCAAATTTGCATGACCAAAATATAATGAATAACCTATAACTCAGAAACATGACTGTCCACCACCTCCTCTGTCTCACTTTTCCTAAAGTACATGATAGCATCTTAGGCAAACTGTACTTTTGACCTCTCCCATTCTTTAGGTGCAAGCTACAGGGTTCTGCTTTACTCAGCTCTGCCCTGACCAAAGTGTGCTTGCTTTGGGGAAATTCTATTTTTACTTATCTAATAGTTAATTCTTCATTTTAGGAAACGAGGTCAGGTGACCAGCCACAGTTCTGAATTACAGCTATGGACATTGGGAGCTGTTTAGAATTTAGCCTGATTTAGAAGAACAGTCTTTGAAAGCCCCAGAATGAAATGACCCAGTTACTCTCATTTCTACTATATCTTCAAAGGAACAGTCTTCTGAATTGTCTGTGACTGTCAGAAATATACTGGAGATGAGCCGTGTAAGACTGCCAACTCTGTTTTGTTCATAAAGAATTTCTCCCTGCAATCCATCCAGCTGAACCTTGTAATTACATCCAGAGCCTGCTCACCATGGCGACTGTGGCTGCTCTAGTGAATATTAAATCTATTGATCTTGAGCATAGAGTCCATCTCAGCTTTCAAACGGCCCATGTAGTCTTTTCCCCCAGGGCTAGAGTATATCTGAAGTTCTTGTGGGTTTATAAAGGCTCGTCTTATATCTTGGCACAATGTGTTCTTTTGATTTGCTGGTGATTTTGTTTTCCTTGCATAGGGATGCAAACCAGAAGAAAAAAGAAAGGAAAGGAATTTAAGGAATGTATAGTGCTGCTTTACAAGATCACCTTTCATATGTTCCCTGGCCCTCATACCCAGGTCATTTCCTGAACTCCAGGACCTCTTACTGTGATAACCAACTCCCATATTTCTTTTAGGTACTTCCCCTTGCTGGGAAGATGCACAGTGGGCTCCTGGAACAAAGACTGTCCTATTGAACAGAGCTACCTTTTAGCCTATAACAAATAATCCCTACAGAGTTGATTAGTTTACCTTGGGCTACACTTGTCAGTTTGAAATATGGCAGGGATTAACTATTACATTATGTTGTAGTATCAAACTCTACTATAGTGTATACAATTATCATAATATATCATAGTATCACATTATATTATATCATACCATGAATATATAATATATATTTCATGCTATGAAAATATAAAAATTTGAGACATTATAGGAAAATCCTTGATCTAACAGTCAGAAGATCTTACACCAGTTTCAGGTTTCATTATTTAATTATTTGCTTGCTGTGTTGTTTAACCTCATCTTGCCCCAATTTTCTACTCTACAAATAGAAACTAACTATAATAATACCTATCTCATAGTATCTTGATAGAATAAAAACAGAATGTTTAGCAGAAGCTTACTATGCTTGAGAAAGGAATAGGAAAATAAAATACTATAAATTATTAAAACCCAAGTACAGTTTTAGAAGATAGACCAAAAAAAAAAAAATCTTAGTATTTGTCAGAATATTTGGTTCTGAAGACCAACAGTCTTAATCCTTTTTTTGAACTTTAAATAGTCTGGAGACACCCTGAGTTGTCTACCCAGAGCTTCCCCACCCCAATCTTTTTCCTCCTGGTGTCAATTTTCAGTCAGAAAGTGGGTTCTTCCTGTGCTCATGGCTGAAAAATGACCAGACACACCAAAGTAAGACAACCACTAAAAATGAGGTTTTTTGAGGAGAGAAAGATAGGATTATAGAGCAAGAGCAATATATAGGTTTACAGAACATGATACATATGCCACAGATGACAACTGGACCTATTGTTACAGCAAAGAGAGAGCAAAAGGAAGGAAGGGGCAAAAAGGGGTTGTTTATGGTCTCAGTCTTGTTTTATAGTGCCCGGATTGGGACCTCCCTGTGGCTTAGGCATCTCCATGGAACCACTTTGATTGGACAGTTTGGAGGTGCATGACCTGAGTCTTACTACGCATGTGGGTTGTTCTAGGTCTATTTCTGAACTCTATGGTACCTATGCTTCTTGGCTCAGGGGTTACAGAGTCCTCTGCATTCTAATGCAGCTGGCATACTAAGTTATGATTGGCAGATTCACAGGGCATTCCCTCCTCCCCCAGGTATGGCAGCAGCTCAGAGCAGGATTAAGGTGGGGCAGGACCAAGATGAGGGTCTAGGGCCCACGCTTGTCCTTCTTCCCAGGTGGGGCAATTGCACAAAGGCAAACTATCCTCCCGAGAAGACCTGGAATCCCTTGCTAACTATCTAACACTAGTAGAGACTGATGCACACAATTGAGGTTAGAAATATTACTACTTGCTTTACAATCTCCCTTTCAGCCAGTTATGATTGTATGACGAATTCTGGCCAATGAGACATACGGGTAAACTTTCTAGGTGACTTCTGTGGAGCACTTTTCCTCTCTCTTAAATAAAACAACAACGACAACACAAAAAGACATTCAAGGAGAATCTTCTCATCTGCTTGACTTCCTTCCTGTATATGGATGTGATAAAAAATGAAATTATGGAAACTATCTTTTTTTTTTTTTATTGACACAGTTACCCTGTATTTTTTGTCAAATCTAGCAACTCTACTTACAGTCGGCTACTTTGTGACAAATGAAAAACTGGTTTTATTAGCTAACTCTACCAGATAGTACACTTAACAATAACTCCATACCCACATTTTCAAAGACTTCATTCAGTCAGTCATTTGGGAAATCATCGGGCATCCACTCCACGCCAATTTCTAGAACCGATCTAGGCGCGGTTGGATACCGCACTGACACTGGCCAGAGCCCGCCCGCTCACACCCTTCATTATGGTCACAGAATCATATATCTTTCCCCCATCCCATAACGAAATCTATTCAACATATGATTAAATATAATTCTAAAACTGAAATTAGTAGAATTTTAAAGCTGAAACTTATTCTCAATGTATTATCTCACTGCCTAACGTAGAGGTAACCTGTCCAAACACACGCCTCCCCCTGCCCTGTCACTGGCCGTCTGCACAGCGGATGGACACCCAGGTTCCCACGTGGCTCTCCAACTGCTTCCGGGTTGGCGGTGCGCTCCCTGAGGGCAGGGCTCTGGGCAGTCCCCGGCGTGCTTCAGGGCGCCTGTGCACCACGTGAGCCCTCGCTGACCGGGAAGTCCCTGTTCCTGGGTCCCGCCCGAGTTCGTCCTTGAGCCAGGTGAGACTTGAGAGACCCGAGCCTCTCACAACGCGGTAGATGGAGGCCACGGCTCTACTGACTGTCCACTGCAGAGGGGCCGGGCGACTAGCCCACGAGGGTGGGCGGACGCGGGAACTCGATGCCGCGGCTTGGGCCTAGCTCGGAAGGTGGGGCTGGGGGCCCTCGTGGACGGTCGCGGAAAGGGCACTTGGCATTGTTTTGGGGTCCGCGGGGTCCGCGGGCTCCCGTGGTGGGGCCTCTTCCACACGTGGGCGTTTCTCCTCTTCGGGAGGCACCTCCGACGTCCTCGGATAGCAGTCTTGGTCCGTCTCAGGCTGCAGGCCTCGCGCCAAGCCCCAGCATGTCCCCGGGCAGGTGTTCCTTCAGGACCGCATAACCTCGAGTCCCCTCACTCGCTGGACTCGGTTTCTTCTTGGCCGGGACTGTGCCAAAAAGCTGGAAACTATCTTTTGACCACAGGGTGATAAACCTGAGTAGAAGCTATTTGCAGAGGAGAAAAGAGTGAAATGATGGAAAAAGCCTGGTACACGTAGCCACACGCTTAGGACTACTTTCCTCTAGATTTTAAGAAAGTAAACTCCTCTATTATTTAAGCTACTTTCTATAGTATTCTGTTTTCTTGCATCTGAAAGCATCCTAACTGATGTACAAAAAGTGTTTCTTGTCCAGGATCACAAGTTCAGGGAGCAGGATTTATACATAATGTGAATGGTGCTACTTGGAATCTTACATGACAGTCTTGGTGAACTCTTACTCCCCCTTCATGACATCTCATATGGTGCCCTCATATTATGGGGGTACAAATGTTTAGGTTACATATATCATCCTTGCACCCATGAAATTTATTTTTAATATTGTTTATAATTAATATGCAGTAATTGTACATGTTTATTGGATACAATGTGATGTTTAAATACACGTATGTATTTTGCAATGATCCAATGAGTGTAGATGGCTTGTCTCTTCTGGGAAGTCCTCCTAACCACAGAAATCACTTGTAGTCAACTACAGTTTCTCTATAACATGTTATAGAGATGGCAATTTTTATAACATATCGAATTGCAGTTAAGTATCTATGAGTCTATTTCTTAAGTACAGAAGTGATACCCTATACGTGTTATCTATTCCTAGGGTCTAGCACATGTTGTCCTCTTGTATACAATGGGTGTTCACAAGCAGTTTCTGGAATAAACAAGCTATTTAGTGATAATAAATTTTTATTATAGTAAAAATTATCCAGGTCCCAGTAGATTCCTAGAAAATATCGGTATTTATCTCCATGTGGGTTTTTTTTTTTTTTTTTTTTTTTGAGACAGAGTCTCGCTTTGTTGCCCAGGCTAGAGTGAGTGCCGTGGCGTCAGCCTAGCTCACAGCAACCTCAAACTCCTGGGCTCGAGTGATCCTTCTGCCTCAGCCTCCGGGGTAGCTGGGACTACAGGCATGTGCCACCATGCCCGGCTAATTTTTTATATATATATCAGTTGGCCAATTAATTTCTTTCTATTTATAGTAGAGACGGGGTCTCGCTCTTGCTCAGGCTGGTTTCGAACTCCTGACCTTGAGCAATCCGCCCGCCTCGGCCTCCCAAGAGCTAGGATTACAGGCGTGAGCCACAGCGCCCGGCCTCCATGTGGGTTTTAGAAAAAAGATCTGTGATAAAAATGTTTATTGATAGTAGACATTTATTTTAAAGAAAATCTTAAATTTATATCACAAGGTCATGCTTTCTTGATGTCAACTCTTACTCTTCCTATACCTGTATCTGCAGTTGAAAGATGAGACTGGATTTAGCATGATAATCCTGAAGATTCAATGATCCATCACATCATTGAAAGATGCAGTTATATCCACTAGACTGAGCTTAGTAAGGCAATAAATAATATACAGATATTTTGAGGAACATTTAGAAACCGTAAGAGTTGAGGCCTGCTCCCTCCTGGGTGATATTCGGGGCGGGGCCTAACACTTGGCAGCAGGAGAGGCCACTGCCAGGTGGAGTGCACTGGTTGGCTGTGGATACCATCCCAAGAAGAGAAGGTGGGGTACTTTGTAATTTATTTATTTATTTATTTATTTATTTATTTTTATTTCAGTATATTATGGGGTACAAATGTTTAGGTTACATATATCATCCTTGCGCCCATGAAATTTATTTTATTTTATATTATTTTATTTTATTTAATATTGTTTATAATTAATATGCAGTAATTGTACATGTTTATTGGTACAATGTGATGTTTAAATACACGTATGTATTTTGCAATGATCCAATGAGTGTAGATGGCTTGTCTATCACCTCAAAACTTTATTATTTCTTTTTGGTAATAACTTTTAAGATCTTATTTCCTAGCTATCTTGAAATATAACATACGTCGTTATTGGCTATAGTCACCCTCCTATGTAATAGAATATCAGAAATAATTTTTCCTATCTAACTGTAACTTTGTACCCATTGGTCAATATCTCCTCCTCCCATCTCCCTTTCCCAGGTTCTGATAACCACTATTTTACTATCTACTTCTGATATCAACTCCTTTAGGTCCTACATTTGAGTGAGATCATGTGGTATTTGTCTTTCTGTGCCTGGCTTATTTAAAATGCATTATGTATACATAATGGGCCAGGTGCGGTGGCTAATGCCTATAATCCTAGCACTCTGGGAGGCCGACGAGGGCGGATCACTCAAGGTCAGGAGCTCAAGATCCCGTCTCTACTAAAATAGGAAGAAATGAATTGGCCACTAATATATATAGAAAAAATTAGCTGGGCATGGTGGTGCATGCCTGTAGTCCCAGCTACTCAGGAGGCTGAGGCAGAGGATTGCGTGAACCCAGGAGTTTGAGGTTGCTGTGAGCTAGGCTGACGCCATGGTACTTTAGCCAGGGCAACAGAGTGAGACTCTGTCTCAAAAAAATAAAAAAATTAAAAAAAAATGCAGTATATATACACAATGGAATATTATTCAGCTTTAAAAAAGAAGGAAATCTTGTGATGTGACAACATGGATAGATTAGACAACAGAGACCTTTTGATTACCTACTGTGTATTAGATTATTTTTTTCTGAGTGCTAGGGATATGTTGGTAATTACTACCAATACAATATGATATAATAATATGTCCAAGCACCATGGCTTCAAGGACCTTATGCATTTATTTTTGTCTACATATTTATTTGTATATTGATGATAATGTAGATAATGACCATCTTTAGGGTTAGGAGCAGGCTTACAACCTCCTGACCAAGTCCCAGAGAGCATCAAGGATCAGTATTTAAGCTGTGTGGGGTGGGTAGGGTCCCAGCTTTGACTTGAGGCTTATATAACTCTTGGCAATGTGTCACTTAAACAGAACTTCCATATAGTGAATGATGCTAATTTATGAATCCAGTCATTTGGCTGGGGCCACCAGTGTTCTGTTTGTGCCAGTGATCTAAAACACTGTTCTATCCCGTCCAGAATTAATCTCAGAGCTCATGTATGTACTATCTCTACCCTATATGGGTAGTTCTGCCTTATCTCATAACACCAATAATATAATATTAATATGACTTCATCAAACTAGAAGTGATTATATCCCAGATAACAAACAATGGTGATCTGGATGCCATTGCACTGCTCATTGTAATGGAAGGAGAAAAACAATTGCCACAAAATGGTTTAGCAGATTTTCCCACCTCTTTTCAGAAAAATCTATAAATCTTTGGACTCTAATATTTATTTATCAGTTACTATGTGTCAGACATTGTGCTGAGGTTAATTATATCATCTCTTTTAAGCCTGTTGCAAACTGGTGAGATAGGTAATCTTATTGATTGAAGCACTGAGATGACTTCACCATCTCACTGATGATGAACATTGGCTCTGAGAACTTAATTTACTTGTCTAAGGTCACAGAGCTTGTAGGTGAGCTAGCTGAGATTCAAACTTGGTCAATGGGACTCCTAAATCCATTCCTTTTATACCATACTTTCTTCTAGATTTGTTAATATGTAAAATTAACTTAATTTTTAAAAATGGAGATTCTTATTCTTAGCTACAAGACAGCAAATTATTGGGTATCAATCGTAATTCATGAAATACTATAGACTTTTTGTTACACCTGATTTCATTCATATACAAAGGGAGAAATTTAGAATTTTTAATAATTTTCATCTTTTTAGTCTTTATAGGTTTTGGTCATTTAAAAGAACTGAAGAGTCTACCACATTTAGTAGCTATAAAAATAATAAATTAAAGCTCTTTCAGAATCTTGCTTGCTAAATCTGATATTAAATATACAACTAAGAATGAAAATGGTATTTTTAAGCATTCATTATTCATTCAAAATACTGGCAGAAAACCAGTGGAAACTCTAATAATGGAAACAGCTCCACCAATCTTGGTTTTAATACATTCTTTTTATTCAGATGCCAGGTTCCCTAAAGGTTTTATCTTGAGGTGTTAAGAGGGAAATCTATCACCGGTAAAGGACTAAATGAAGTCATGAGTCGTATAACATGAAGAACAGACAAGTAACCTTCACTTGGATACTTAAGAAAACACTGGCAGAAACCCTGATACAATTAATTTGCAAATAACTTGAAGACAAGGAGGTACTTAGTGGATGATGACTAATGTGTCCTACTTAAATCCAAATCCTTTTATGTTAATCTAATATGGTAGATCAAGGTAAAATGATAGTTGTACTTTATCTTGACTGAAACAAATCTTTTGATGATCTGCATATTATACCCATGAATGAACAACAACAAAAAAGATGACCTAAGCACAAAGCTGACTGGATTACAGAGACTATATAATGTCAAACATCTAGATGAAAATACTCAGTGCTCTATTTCTACAATGTCAATCCAATGGTCTGAGGGACAATGAACTGGTCACCTGTTTAAAAAGTTTGAGGACCCCTGCTTATAATCCTCAAGGTAGTGCTTTTGTGTCTTCCAACTCCCAATAGTTACCACAGATCACACTTTCATTCATGAACATATTTCCTTTCA